TACCTTTTCAAATCATAAGAGCCGCCATAGAGAACTTTCATGATTTTGAAGGACATGACTTTTCTAGCTTCGAATGTGATGGATTAATTTACTGTACCCAGCAAAGAGAAGAAAATAAATTGTACACAGAGCGGACTCACCGCCCTGACCGGTTGGCTTAACCCACGTTTGCCTGAGTTTTGATAATTAGTATATACGTTTATAAGAATGTTGACTAATAAGCTGACTTGAATTGCACATGAGCTGTTGTTGTAGGTGAATCTGTGTATTTTATGGAAGATTTGTTGTGTTGTTATGATACACAACACAAGTGTGGAGCAAAAATCATGGCTTCCGAGTTGAAAGTTGAAGTCTTTGGGGAAGAAAAAATTAGACCATCCTCTCCAACTCCTCACCACCTTCAAACTACCAAGCTTTCTGTTTTTGATCAGATTATTCCTGATGCTTATGTCCCGCAACTTTTCTTCTATCCCAGCAACAATATTACTGATGTTGTGCTCAATAATAAGATTGATCTTCATTCTTTAATTTCTAAGAGAGATCCAAGCTTCTAAAAACATCTTTATCTGAAGTCCTCACTCAGTTCTATCCCTTAGCGGGAAGGTTCCAAAATATATAATATTTCAATCTCTCTTGCAATGACCAAGGTGCTACATATCTTGAAGCCCAAGTAAACTGTCCCATATCAAAGATTTTGGTCAAACCAGATCTTGGGTTGCTGTGGCAATTGCTTCCAAGTCCAACTCGTTATGTAAGCTATCTTCTACTAGTTCAGGCAAGTTTTTTTGAATGCGATTGGCAATTGGAGTCCACTTTCCGCATTAGGTCAGGGATGCTTCCACAATCGCCAAATTCATCAATAGCTGGGCTACAATTGCTCTTGGCTCGGCCAGTACTTGTACTGATCATGTGGTGCTTCTTGGAGAATTTGGTGCTGGATTTTCTGAACTCACCGCAAACACCAACACCAAGAAGTGACGCGAGATTCGGTGTCACATTCCAGGATCGGCTCTGCCATAGCATGATATTGTCCTCTTTGGGCCCCCCTCTCTGCCTTCACGGTTTTTTTTTTGGGAGCTCACGAGCAACTTCCTAGTAGGTCACCCATCCTAGGATTGCTCTGGCCCCAACTCACTTAACTTCGGAGTTCCCATGAATCCGAAGATAGTGAGCTCCCAAAAGGCTTCGTGCTAGATTGATGCAGGCATGTACATATAAGGCACATCACCCCCTCTCCGTTGGTCGATGTGGGATCTTACAATCCACCCCCCCTTAGGGGCCCGACATTCTCGTCGGCACACTTGCATCACACGGCAGAGTGGCTCTGATACCAAATTGTCACATCTCGGGATCGGCTCCGCCGTAGCACGATATTATCTGCTTTGGGCCCCCCTCTCTGCCCTTACAGTTTTGTTATTGGGAGCTCACGAGCAACTTCCCAGTGGGTCACCCATCCTAGGATTGCTCTGGCCCTAACTCACTTAACTTCAAAGTTCCCATGAATCCGAAGACAGTGAGCTCCCAAAAGGCCTCGTGCTAGATGGATACGGGCATGTACATATAAGGCACATCACCCCCCTCTCCGTTGGTCGATGTGGGATCTTACATTCGGTATTAAGGAAGAGCTTATAACAAGAAGATTTGTGTTTAATGCGTTGAAGATTGCAGCTCTCAAGTCCCGCTACCAGTACCACTGTGCCAAATCCTACACGTGTTGAAGTTGTATCAGCAATCATTTGGAAATGTGCAAGGGATGCATCAAGGCTAAACTTGGGGTCAGTGAGGCCCTCTTCGTGGTGTCAAACGGTGAACATGAGGAAAATACTTTTGTCAGGACCCTTGGGAGATGAAGACTTGTTGGGAAATTTTGTAGGGTTGGTTGCAGCACAGACAAAAGAAAGTGAAGCAGATCATGATGATCTTCAAAGCTTGGTTACTAAATTGAGGAAGGGACTTGAGGAGTTCAAAGAAAGGTATAGTAATGGATCTAATGGGGCGGATTTTGTCAAGACTTCATGGAGAATGTGAACCTTATGAAGAGAGACAATATTGACAGCTGTACTTGCAGCAGTTGGTGCAGATTTCCGTTATAAGAATCGAATTTTGGATGGGGAAGCCAGCATGGGTCTTCATCCCTAGTATAGATCAAAAGAACCTAACTGTATTGCTGGATGCAAGAGATGGCCATGGAATTGAAGCCTCCTTAACTTTCAAGGAAGAAGACCTGGCCATATTTGCAAGCAATGAGTAGCTGCTTCAATATGCAACTTTGAATCCGACTGTATTTTAGTAGCCCCATAATTTTTATTTTTAAAAGGTCCTCTTGAGCTTACACTACAAGAAAAACAGGTATTAGTGGCCACCCACTTGGTCACAGAAACTACCCTTTTTGGTCACTGAATGCAATCAGTGTCCAAATATTGGTGGTCACTGGGTGGTCACTAGAAGCTCGTCACAAATTCTACTTAGTGGCCAATATCAACTATTGGTCACTACAACACAAAGAATTAGTGGCTATCCCTGTCTGGTCACTAATAAAAACGCTATTAGGGACCACAACTTTGGTCACTAAAGGGCTTACAATTTGGTCACCAAAACATGCAATTTGGTCACTGAAACTGAGTCACGTGCCCACATTAGTGACCTGCTTGCTTGGTCACTAATGTATTTCAAAAAATTGGTAACTAATTAGGTTTACCTCTCCATGTTCTTTATTTATTGTATTACAATATGAAATCACTATTAATTTCTTTTAAACAGTGCTGTAGATAAAATTTATAGCATCAAATAATTCATTGCGTTCAAAAGCAATCCATATATCTAACATTCTTCCAACAAATTCACAAGATGTCTCAAAAACAAAATACTAGATATTTAAGTTCAACATAAATGTCAAGTGATTCCCAAAAACAAATAACATAAGATTCATCACTAGTAGATTGTCTTCTACCCTTTATCCATCAGATCTGCATCAAACAAAGAATAATATCAGTTCTTACTTGGGATGCACTAAACTGGGAATTAAGTATATTGTGCAGTTTGCAAAATTATATTGTAGTAAGATGAGAGTTATAAGCTAACCTCATTGATGACGAAGTCGAGGATAACTGCTGCAGCAATCTTTTTACTAGTTCATCCGTCTCATTTTGCCTTGCCTGTAAACCTGCTAACTGATACTTTTGTGCAGCAGAATTCTCCTTCATTTCTGTTAACTCATTTGCTAGAAGCATACATTGTTTCTCTGCATCATCAGCCCTTTTAGTTGCCTCATCTGCCCTTCTTTTAGCCTCCTCAACTGTTGCATGACTGCATTGTCCAGCTTTAAATGTTTTGGGTTTCGGACCTGCTCCTAAGCCACGTATATAACCCGACTTAGGTGGACCAACAACTTTAGAAAGAACTGAGTCATATATTTCATCATCAGACATCAATTCAACAGATTCCTCATCTGTTTGTGGCAGGTTCTTCAGCTTTTTCATCTCATCCTACATAGTACATTTACATCATGTTTATGTACAATAAAGCTCAAAGGATCTGAAAAAGCTCAAAAGCAATAAAGACTTACAAAAGCATTCTTGGCATCTTCGCCAACCCATGTTGTTTTCTTTGTGCTAAATCTGATGAGCTGAAACAAGTCTATGCGGCTAGGTTCTTCTCCAGTTTCAGAATTTCTCTATTTCATGTAGTCATAGACCACCATCATGTTATTTAGAAGTTCCATAAATTATAACTTCAAAAAATTTCAATGTAAGAAGATTGGAAGGGTCAAATGAAGCTTACATTTTCATATCTAATACGACTAAAGGCCTTTGTCCCAGCACAATGTGTGATCTTCAATTTCTTTCTATTTTCCTTATTTTTTGCACTACTTTTCTGCAAAAATAAGTATTAAAAGTAATGAGGAGCATTAAAACCGGCCACATGCTATAATTTGTACTCATGTTCCCAAATGGGTTGAATCCATCACTCGATAACCCCAGTCTAACATTGCGCGAATCCAATGCAAATGATTCGTGCTCTCGATCAAAGTCTTTCCATGCTTCAGAATCAGCTGGATGTCTCAACACCCCATCATCAATTCTTCTATCCTTATGCCACCTCATATCTAGAGCAGTTTTTTGGGATATAAAAAGCCTTTGCAACCTCGGAATTAAAGGCAAGTGTCTTAAGATTTTTTGGGGAACCTTTTTCCTCTTGTCATTGCCTATAACATACCTAGGGGTATGACATTTTGGACACTCTTGTTCATCTTCATATTCCTCCCAAAAAAGCACACAATTATTTTCACATACATGAATCTTATCATAACCAAGACCCAACTCTCGAATAATTTTTTTTGCGTCATGATAAGATCTTGGTATCGTGTTACCATCAGGAAATGCCTCTTTTAACAGCTGAAGCAAAGCTGTAAAAAATTTATTGGTGCATCGGTTAATTATCTTCAAGTGAAGCAACTTCACCATGAAAGACAACTTAGAGAAATTCCTACATCCAGGATACAATTCTTGCTCTGCATCACTCACCAATTTTGTAAAACTATTTGCTTCTTCACTAGGAACATGATCTTGTGATTCCCCATCATCCCCAAACCTATTTTCTTGCAAGTCATGTAGCATTTCAAATACCTCATCACCTTCCTCTTCACTTTCCTCTTCCTCTAAATCATCATCACTCTCTTCTTCTCCATGAAATATCCATTTAGTGTAGTCCATAATCATTCCATTTGCGTATAAATGGTCCTCAACTTGATGTGGAGATCTATAAAGTAGGTTGTTGCATCTATTACATGGACATAACATTTCAGTGATCCCTGGTTTCATGTGCCCAATTGCGAAATTAATGAACTCTTTCACCCCATGAATATACTGTGTTTTTCCCCTAGTGTGCATATGAATCCAACCCTTATCCATCTCTAATCAAACCCAAAAAAGAAAGAAAAAAAGAAAGTAGTGGTGATTAGTATAAATCTGGGTTTTATGGTCTTACATGTACGTGTATGAAACTAGCCTAAAGCAAACAAAATTGGTTAGACAATAATGTGCATTACCCCTTTTTTTAAAAAACAATACAGGTCATGCTTACCAGAGAAGCAGAGCATGTTTTGAATGCTCTGTATCTCTGGTTTTTTTATTTTGGATCATTAATTGGTAAGACATCAAAGTGAAGGCTAATAAAAGCCAACTACATGCTACCAAATGCATCTCTTTTTTCCCCCCTCTAAGACAAGGCACTACTAACGGTAATGTATAATATTCCAAGACCCAAAATCCTTCTTTGATACTTAATCTCAGAATCCTCAGAAACAAACATGAACACACCAAGAAGAAACTAACAGAACCCACTTTGACTCATATCTCCGTTTTGATTGATGCCAAAAGAATGTTTCAATGAACTAGATCTAATTCCCTACATAAACTATGAAAACATTACTGAATTTCTGAAAGCATACAAGAGTAATGCAATAATATTTTCATCAAGTAAACCCAAAACAAAATCATAGTTAGGAAAATTGATATCACAGTGGAACTCAAAATCACAGTGAATAGAGAATTAGGGAATAGAGAATAGAGAATCATAATCAGTCACAATCGTACTCAAATCAAACTCAAATGAATTCAAAACTTACATTGAAACCAAAGAGAAATAGAAAGCTCACTTGATATTGGGAGAAAACCTGGAAATCGAAACCACGGAGACGAAAAGGACGACGAAGAGACGCTCGCTCGACGAAGAAGATGGTCTTGCTCGCTCTGGTCTCTCGATCTTGTCTCGCTCGCTCTGAGCTCGCGCTGGTCTCCTTCGGATTTCGCTCATCTCGCTCTGAGCCAGCCAGCGCGTTTTGAAAAATATAAATAAAGTTTTAAAAAAGTTAATCGGTCACTGATGTATTAAATGAGAGAAGTAAGGCTGCCTTGGCATATGTGTTCGTCACTAACTATATAATTTCAGTTGTTTTCAGTGACTAATTTAAATAATGGTCAGAAAATTTGGTCATTGAAAATTAAAAAATAGGGGTAAATTATTTTAGTGACCACGTAGTATTATTAGTCATTAAATTCACTGTATTTGTGACCATTATTCATGTGGTCACAAGGAAATTGGTCACTACTGACCTTTTTTCTTGTAGTGTTACTTAGATGAATGTTGCTGGGCCATTGATGATCTCTCATTCTTTTGATGCTTGTTTACTGACTTTCTACTTAAATTAAAATTAAAAAAACTTGTGCTTTGCTCACTATCATTTTTGTCCCCTTATATGATTGTTGTTGAATATATGGCTTTAAAACATTGCATATAGGTTTAGTAAGTCAGAGTGCTTCAACTTTTCTAAGTAATTGCACCTCTTGCTCAACTAAAAAGAGACTCTTTAATTGGATTGCTGACTTTTCTTAGTCTCAATTGCCGGCCTCAAATTTCCATAAATATGTTGCTTTGCTTGCAATGCTTGCTTCTTTGAATCTGAATGTTGGTTTTGAACTAAAATTAGTGTGTGGAGTGTTTGTCCCAGATTGAAAAATTAAGGGACCTAGCCTGGATTTATAAGGAGTTGGGCTACTCCTCCCATAGCCAATCGGTTTTGAGGTTGACCCTCAACTTCCTTCATGGTATCATAGCAAGGCTTCAACATATGTGAAAACTTGACGCAACTTTATCCTGCGTAACTCAATTTAAGGTGAATCATATGAATACTTCGTGTGTTGTGTATGTGATTTTGATATTATATTTTCTTGTTTGACTATATTGGCACGGTTTTGACATAAACTCACAAACGAAGGTGTGAGGAAAGTAGCAGGAGACGAAACAAAATAACCAATGCGAGCTAAATTACTTTGTCACGCCATTGAAATGTAGCATAGTTCGATATGTCAAATTAACCTTTTCAAAAGCATTGAATATCCAAAATGATTTTGAATGGGATATGACTTTTCTATTTTGAAATATGGCATGTGGTGCCTCTTGTATAATTTGGTGTTGCAGCTTCTCCTTTCCCTCCAGTAGATTTCCTAAACACACCGCCAACGAACTCTGGTATCAAAGAAAACTGTTAGGCCCCGTTTGGTTCACGGAATAGATTTGAGGGGAAATCAATTCCCATGTCATTTCCCAAGGAATGGGAATGAAAGATTCATTTCCCACGTTTGGTAATGTTGGGAAAGTAACCGGGAGATTTCACTTTGTTTCCTTTCCCATGTTTGTTTTGAGTAGGAATGGAAAACAAAGTTTGTATAATTTTCCAATTATATCCATATTAAATCAAATAAAAAAAAGAATGCATTTAGTGATACGTTGTAATTATAAATTGTTCATAGGGACAAAATAGTCATGAAAATTGTGCATTGAATGTTGGTTCATTTTCCCAAACTTTCCTATGAGGAGGGAAACCAAAACCCAAGTTAAGAGAAGGGCATCACTTTCCCCCCTACTTTCCCATGTGCAAGGCATTCATTTCCTATGCCGGACTTACCAAACATGGGAAAGGAATTGAATTCCCATTCCCAAGTCTCCTTTCCCATGAACCAAACGGGGAACGCATCAGGATTTGTGTTTGATTGATGCTCCAAAGATTGTAGAGAGCCTCATTTGTGAACAATCATTTTCTTGGTCATGACATGATAATGGCACATCAAACGCATCAGGATCAAGCAGGACAGAGTTGCGTAGGGCGCCAAGAATAAAGGGCCTATGAGTAAGCCCAAAAAATAAGAGAACGAAAAGGGCCTTTTTGTAAGTGTTCGACTGGATTTTTTTAGATTTCTGCCTATTTTCCATTACAATAGGCCAATTTATATTCTAATTAATAATATAAAAAAAAAGTAAACGAATAATTACCCTTTAGAGATATTTAGTTATATACCAATTTTTAGCACTAGTGTTATACATAAACTATACACCATTTAATTTCTATAAACACAAAACAAACAAAAAAACAAAAAAACCCAAAAAATGATAGTTGGCCGTATTGAATTTAATTTTGATTATTAAATTACTAGTGATTATTGATTATTAATATATCAATAAACATATATTAATAATTAGCTTTTCCTAGTTTAGCTAATTATTAATATATCAATAAACATATAAATTAATGACAAGTTGACTTGATTTCACAGGAGTTGTCCTTATATTAAGCTTTTGTGGCTTTCAAAGTTGACTAATTAGTATTATATATCCTTGAAGATTTCTACAGGAAGTTTCTTTAATGTCGGATGGACATGCAATTTAGATAATATAATAAACAGAATAATTCAATACTTTGAATTTCGAACTGCACAGGCTGTGTCTTTCTGGGATTATATGAAGGTGAGGTGTTCGTTAAGAAACTCAAGCCTGGAACAACATCATGGTTTCAGAGATGAAGGTTGAAGTCACTCACAAGGAAACAATTAAACCATCCTCTCCAACTCCTTCACATCTTCAAACTACCGACCTCTCTGTTTTTGATCAGCTTTCTCCTGATGTTTATATACCACTACTTCTCTTCTACCCCAACAATAGTAGAGATGATGAGGCCAATAATATTGATCACCATTCTTCCGTTGCGGAAAGATCCAAGATTCTGAAGACATCATTATCTGAAACCCTAACTCACTTCTACCCCTTTGCAGGTGAATTCGAATATAATGTTTCAATTTCTTGCAATGATCATGGGGCTGCATTTTTTGAAGCTCGAGTGAACTGTCCCATATCGACGATTTTAGACGAACCTGATTTTGGGATCCTTAAAAAATTGCTTCCAACTGGTATAGGATCTACACAAGCAGACACAGGCTATCTTCTACTAGTCCAGGCCAACTTCTTTGAATGCGGTGGGTTGGCAATTGCAATTGGTGTCAGCAGTTCACATATCATCACCGATGCCTACACACTCAGCACA